AGAAAATCAGTGTCTCTTTATTGTATTATTTAAATTCACACATTTATTGCTAGACAAGATTAAAAAATTATCTTCTTCTAAAAGGAGCTAATTATTTGGTCTGATTTGACAGCTCACACATCACAGACTACCCCGATCTGAATTTTTCATCACCCCAAAGCACCTTCTAAGTTTGAAGTATTACTGTCTTCATGTGTGCAGAGGACAATCCAGCTTTGTACTCATAATGCTGCTGAGTGTAGCTGTTGTCAGGGGCCACCCCCATTAAAAGACTGGATGACACGCAAGCTAATGAAAGGGCAGCAAGGCCTGCCAGGCACCCTGCCCGCTCAGGTAACCATCTGTTACAAAGAGCTGCCCCCTGGCTTGCTCTGTGAGACCTCCTGTCACCTCAGTGGCTTTGTCTTAAGAGCTGTCACCTTGCTTCATTAGTACTACTTCCCAGTGAAGTGCTTTCAACCTCACAACCAGCACCCCTGAGTGTGCTACCTTTAGTGTCCCTTTCCTTAGAGAAGACTAAAGTTTGTATGCAGTACCTTGTACAATTCTTGAGTCACCCCTCAGCGGTTTAAATTTTGCCATGAAAATGGGAAATAGGTGCAGTAATTTATGTGCAAAGAAAAATGGAAATACAGTATAACTGGCAAAACCAGAGTTTGTCAGATTCTAATGGCTAGAAAGTCAATATCTGGTATGACCACCTTTATACTTCAACACAACAGGAAGTCTTTCAGGTAAGCTTTCTTGTAATTTCTTTAAGGCATCATCAAGAACAGTGCTCTGGGCTTTTTGAATGAAATTCACAGCTCTACTTTGGATATTGGCTGCTTGTTTGTTCTGTTCTTTGTCAAGGTGATCCCACACTGCTTCAGTAATGCTTATGTCCAGGGCTGTGGGGAGAGCAGTCCACAACTCACAGTGTATATTATTCCATCCAGGCATGTTTTGTACCTCATTGGCACTGTGTTTTGAATCACTATCACACTGAAAAGGGAAGCCTTTCTAGTTGGCAATACATGGTGGATCCTAATCTGATGGTACTTTTCTGCATTCATAACTCCATTAAGCTCCTCAACACCTCTGGCTAAAATGCGGCACCAAAGAATGACAGAGCCACCACCATTTTTATTTTTTTACAGATAATGGACTGATTCTTATATTCAACCATCCTTCCATTAAGACCACTTCTAGTGAGGCTTTGACGAACAGTACTGTAGATGGATTGGCTGAATTGTCAAAAGCATTTCTCAGGTCCTGTCTCAGGTCTTTTCTGTATTTTTCCCTATTGCTTAGGGACATGTCTTCTGATACTGCTCATCTGCTGTAGATTATTTTTAAGGGTTGCCGCTTTTTCTTTTGCCCTCCACTTTTCCAGTTTCCTCAGTGACACCCTGCACACCAACCAAATATATGCCAAGTTTTTGGTTCATAGCTCTTTTGGAAACATGTTGCTGGTGCAAAATTACTATTTTATGCCGGTCTGTGTTATTGGTGGCATTTGACTAAAGAAATGAGACCAAAACGTTTATTTTTGCATCAGGTCACTGCTAACAAATTGCTTAAAGCTACAATTTAAAATGTTCTTTTCTAAGTTGTCTGTTATGTGTGGACACATCACTGGTCCATCACTTAAGTTAGGTATCTTTTTATGCTTGAGTAATGCAGAGAACAAACAAACATACAAACAAAAGTAATAAGGTACAAGGACCCGACTAATAGTGAATGAAAAAGCAGCTAAAGTCCAAAAAAAAACTAAACTACTGCTCAAGACCACTTAAAAATGTCCAAAAAGTCTGGTGGAACTTTTGCACAGTACCTTATTTTCTTTTCAGCTCAATTCCATTAAGCTTTATTCATATACCTCTTATTCACAACGACAGCCACCTCAGTGTGGTGTCTGAAATGACAGTTGTTCTGCCCTAATCCATTTCGGCCTTCACAGAATGTCCATTTCCCCCCTGCATGTGAGGACGAAGACATTTTTCCCATCGACAGCAGGTCCTCCTCATTGTTTGCTGTGAAGGAGAGAACAACACTAAATTATTGACAGTGTGAAAATGTCACAGACGTTCCTATATTACTTGGCCATTGTGAGCAGAAAAAAATGTTATTTCTACAAACTTTGTAAAGAACAGTGTACATGAATGAGCTTCATCACAGTGGTTTGAAGCATTTCTAAATTTGAATTGGCAGCTATTCAAAGAGTAAAAAGGTGCAAACTGAGCATAAAAGGTCAAATCTACAGATGGTAGGTTGTGTTCTGGATCCACAGGTGGACAGAAATTACTACCTTTCTGTGTTGGCATTTGGATTTACTGAATGCAACAACATCACCAGCCCCCAACCCCACCCCAGTGTAGTAACTGTAAAAATGTACATAGTTTGAACCATAGATACCTCCATACAAATAATCACAGAGCGCACAGAAAAGAGAAGTGTTTGCAGGAAAGTATTTTACTGGCTAAAAGGGGACAAAACTGCCCCCAAGTGACCAAAGTGGTACAAAGCAAGGAGAAGGGAAAATCTGATTAATCAAAAAAATCAAAGACAGACAGTGGAATGCTTAAAAAAAGTAACCAACTATTGTATTAGAGCTTTTGATTTAGAGTATTTATTTTTATTTATATTTATTTAGGTTTTTATTTCATTCCATGTAATAACAATTCACCACAATTAATGGAAAATCTGTTGTTTTTTTGGTTATTTATTGGAGTTTGGTGTTTATATGTAGCTTCTTCCTCACACTAATTATTTTCCCCTTTTTGTTAAAAGGTTTCTTAAAGCTGCATCATATCCATCAATGAAGTGGTAGTTCTCTATACTTTCTTGAATTCTCATGTGCATATATTGTCTACTGTTTACAAGAGCCTTTCAAATATGAGCTATGGAGACTACCATGACCTGTCAAGACAAACAATTTGATTGGGGTCAAGTATATCCAGTAAATGGCGATATAACCACTATAGCTTTTTCACATTGTCCCACAAAAAGCCAGAGGGTTGGATTTGAGAAGCAAAGTGTGCTTAGTTTTTTCACACTGTAAAAGCTCTATTCTGTTGCCCCAATGCTCTCAGCTACAGATTTTACAGCACCACTAACTGGAGGTTGATGTAAATGTTACTGGAGCTGGAGCTCTCTTGGTTCAGGAAGAATAAGTCATGATATTTAATGTCTTATATACTCATATAAAAAGTTATCTGCTGACCAGTGTTATAGGTAAAATAAATAAATAAAATGCATTTAACATGTCATTGTTTTGCTTATGTGTGTGTGTTTTTTGTTTTTGCCTTTGTGTTGTAGGTACTGTCCCTGATTTTGCATTTCATTTGTGCACTATACAGCTGAATTCAGTGAATGAATTTGAACATCATCAGCTTAACTTCAAATTCATCTCTGCTACCCTTTATGTAACAAACTCTGACCATGACTACAGCCACTGTGTGCTAGTCACACACTGTTCTTTGGTTTAAATCCATGCTGGTTTTGTTTGTTTTTTTGTTTTGTTTTTTTGCAGCATGTTTCACAACTTGAAAAACACAATCGCACATATACAGACCCAGTATCTGATTTAAATACATGAGGACTTACATGTAAGCTTTACATTTCCAGTTTATCAAACACCACTGAGCAGTCCTTTAAGTCTAGTCTTCTTCCTTTCTAGTTCTGGCTTTCTTACCTGAAAGAAAGTGAACTTAACTCTCTTTCTTTTCTCTCCCTGTGAAATACAGCAGCTGGACCTTTGCATTCAAAATGTCCTGACACAAACAAATTACACACTTATGCTCACTCTTCTTCTGCATGGCTAGCTAGATGCTGAAGTACCACAACTTATGGACACCCAACAGTCATTACAATGTAGTGCCAAAACAAACAAACAAAACAAATAAATAAAAACATGCCCACTTTAACCCCTGACTATGGCACATAATTTTGCCTCTTTCATCTGTTTTTATGTGACATCCTCTCGTGACTAATAAACAAACAAGATTGCCTTTCATGTGTTACTGCTTATTAAAAGCATTATTATTACGATTATTACTATTACTATTATTACCATTATTATTATTAAGCATTATTATTAAAATTATGTTTGTTCTTTCATTTTTGTATAAACCAATAACAGACAGAACAGTAATATTTAAAAAGCCTATTTCATTGATACACTTTGGTTGGTAACAATCTTTTAAAAAGACATCCGCTGGACGATGGTTTTAAGAAAAATTTATTTTGCCTTACGGCAAATCTGTGAAGGGTAAAGACCCCTAAAGGCCATAAACCCACCAGGAAAGTGCTGAAAAGCAGACTACTACCCATCGAGAGGATTTGCCCCCTGCTGACCATTAGGAGGGATGCATGTTTAAGCCACCTTAGCACTGGCTTACCTTCCTGCATGTTTTGTTACATGCAAGTATTGAGCTTTTTAACCCACTTCTTCTCTGCCGTGGCTTCTTCAGATATAGACTTAGCGTATAAAACAAAAACTCTATCACCATTTACAGAATAAAACCCAACTTATTACATCATATTCAATATTTTTTTTATTTGTAACCTTGTTGTAACCTATGTTGTAACCTGTTTATTAGCGTTTCCTGTTGATGAACTTTACATACATTCCAAGTTAAATAGTTTTTAAAAAGGCAAAAAACGCTGCCGTATGACAACAGCAGAAAAGAGCACGGAGACAATGAATAACAGAATAAGTGATCTAATGTGGAAATTTGTTTTCAGTCCTAGGTTGAGGCGGAGCTTCTGTAATCTTTCCGAGGCCCACACACAGAAGCCAAAGCCCTGCCGTTACCATAGCAACGACTCGCGGAGTATGGGAGATGCCACGAGCGACTCGCAATTGGTCACCTCGGATCGTTGTTCCGTCCCAACCTCCTATATGATTTGTTTCATGTATTGTCCGTCTTAGAAGCTGCAACATGATTGGCTACCTTCTACATTCGCGGCCCGCCTCTGTGAGTAAGCGCTCCCAGCTGCACACAAGTCGGGAAGAGTCGTGCGGACGACGTTGTACATTAAAGCGAAAGCTTAGTTGTTTTCAGGAGTAAAAAAGTTGATCTGCGGTTGACTGTTTTTGGAGTAGCACGCTTACTTGGAAATTCACAAAGTGGTGGGAAAGTTGGGAGACATGTAGAGACTTTTTGGTCGCCGGTATTGTAGCTTGACGATGGAGGAGCCAGCGATAAGGCAAGTGATTAATGTTAGCCAAATTAACGCTTTTTGGGGAGGATATTTTTGTTTTGTTTATGTTGGGATAAAATTTACGTTTTAAAATGGCGCGTTAAGCTAAGAGTCGTGTTCCAAGAGTGCGGTGGTGTGTGAGAAGTGTGTCTAAACGTGCCTGAGTGTAATAAAATGCTGACATGAATCTTTGCAGAGAGTTTGAGATGTCTCTGTCAGACGGTCCCTCTGACGACGACGACGAATTCCCGTCGACTTTACCCACAGATGGCAGCCACAGTGGGAGCATCCGCAAGGTCAGACAATCACACTCTTACATTCATTTCAAATTAAAAAAAATACTGGATAAATAAAATTAGAATACAGTCCACGTGATGATGCTGTGTGGCTTCACTTGGGGATCTTATTGGACCTGTAATTAAACTAAAGAACATGAAACCTGAATGTCATCGATAATCATGTAAATTGGCAAATGTAAACTTTAACTTAGGGAACAAAGAAAGTTAGCTGCAGGGATAATACCCACATTATTGGGGAAAAGAGCACATGTTTTCGCTGACCACATTTTCTGAGTTTTGACATAGTGACCATCCCAATACATCAGAGAAGGGCTGAACTGATCTAGCTCTATATATACATATACCTTGGCTTCGTGTAGATGTTCACAGAGTGCTGATCGTATACCACTGTTAAATTATTAGTCTGTAATTTATTTATTATTATGAGACTGTGTGACATCAGGATCCTCTGAAACATTGCTTTCCTGACATTGTTAAATAAATTGTAACAAATAAGTAAATCACAGAATATAAAAAAATAATAAAATAATTCCAAACTACTTGCCAAGTTGTCTGTGAAAAGCAAGAAGCAAAATGAGTGAGCATAATACAATAAATAAAGCAAATTTGCAGTTTTTAAAAATGTGTTTCTTTCAGCAGTGAGGCAGAAGTTTCACCGTTGAAGGCAAATGTTCTTTGCCTCCTGTTGGCAGTTTTTTCACATTTTTCCAAGTTTCTCTAACGCTTGGAGAGTAAACAGCAAGTGTTTACAGACAGTCAGCATCTTCCGTGCACTAGTCTGTTAGTGACCAAAGCAATCAGTAGTAAGATTTTCAGTGTTTGTAACCTGCCCTGCCGTGGGAAATCAGTTCACATAGGCACTGGAGGGTTACTTGATGTGCGCATGTTAAACAAACTCCTTTACTGGGAGGTAAAGAGATATATGAAGAAAAAGAGAGAGACAAACATAACAACTATATACTGTTGAGATTCCTGGAAGAGGGATAGAGAAGATGATGAAAGGACCAGTAGGGCATAAGAAAAAGGGAGTATTTAGCTTGTTTACAGTACAGCTCCGCCATCTGTCATGTAACTGTACATTTGTTTACTTCAGAGTGTGAAAGTGTGCTGTACTGTATGACACATGTCTGGTTTTAGTGAGCACACAAATTACCAGCTGTGAGGCAGTTCTTAAAGTATTGTGAGCAAATTGCCTCTGTTGAAGCAAGATTTTAAAAAGCTGTTAAATCTTCAAACACATGTACAGATCCTGTTAAAGTTTTTTTATAATCTAGAATGTATGTCCTCTGCTTTGTTGTGGCACAGTATTATCATGTTAAGCAGTCACAATGACCTTCACATGTTGTCACATCCATCATCTCTATGCTATACTGGGTTTGTAGTGTGAAGTAATTCTTTCAGACTGCTCTCCACTGGCAGTAATAACATGCCATGGTGCCATGGTAAAACTGGGGTTAGTGTCATGTGAAAACAGGAAGGCTTAAAAAAAATAAAAAGTAATTTCTCACTGCGCCGCAGTCTGTTTGAGATTTATTTTTGATATATCAAATCTTATCCCCACTGTGGCTGTGTCTCTTACGGTTTCTTTTTTTTTAGCGTGTTTTTGGACAGGATAATTTCCATCGGGGAAAACATTAGTTAGCTGGCTGTAAGTCTGCCAGCTGCTTCCAGTACTTCTTACTCAGATCATACAGCATGAAGTATTGTTGTCACATTTGTACAGCTGTTCTGTGTTTTCTTGGGCAGACTGCCAAAATATATTAACAGTCACCAAGTATATTTGGTAGTCTAGTGTAGCTGTCTTTTTTTAAGTTTTAGGTTTTTCAGCAGCTTCCATGATGGATTTACTGGTACTACATCAGTTTGCTCCGGTTTTGCAAATTCATTAACTCAACCAGCCCTGACCCTTCCACTTTGTGTTTCTCTAAGGCTCGATATCATTCAGCTTCCTCTCCAGACTCCAGTGTTTCTCATACAGGGACTTGATAACGATATTAGTGGAAGTTCACATGCCCTTACCATCGTGTTTCTTTTCAGTCTGGTCTACTTGCCAGTTTCTTTTGTGGCTATCTTTGATATTAGTCAGCTGCTTGAGTTTCTCATCCTGTGGTCCATTGGATGGTTTTTAAACTGGTGTCTGGAAGTACCTGTGTTGTGCTTAGAGCAGCAGTCCCCAACTTTTTTGCGCCACGGACCGGTTTATGTCCGACAATATTTTCATTGACCGGCCTTTAAGGTGTCGCTGATAAAGATAACAAAAATAAAACCAGTACTGGTATTGGATTGGATTTATGGATTTATTCATAACACACAATGGAAAGACCCAGGGAAACCGAGTTACCGATAAAAACAATAACCCCATAACCTTTACACCCTTATAACATACAGCATCATTTACGCTATTGCTTGGAAAAGGGTTTGCTTTCTTGCCGGTCAGTAGATTAATTAAGATAGTCTAATTCTGTAGGAAATGCAACTTTTGTAGTTGGTCAGTCAGTAGTTATTTTATCTCCTCTATTTCTTTATTTCATCTGCAGGGCTGTGATCCTTTGGCTCAGACTCAGCGCAGTAAGCTGCAGCATCGACGGGCTCGCATCAACCAGCAGATCAACAAGGAGATGCGTATGAGAACTGGAGCGGAGAACCTGTTCAGGTGAGACATTGCAACGGATCAGAACGTTGCATGCACAATTTTTATTTTATTTTTAATTACTTTTCTGTTGTAATGTTACACGAGGGCAGCACGGTGGTGCAGTGGTTAGCACTGCTGCCTCACAGCAAGAAGGACCTGAGTTTGAATCTATCGTGTGTGTGGAGTTTGCATGTTCTCTCCAGGAACTTTAGCTTACTCCCATAGGTAGGGTGGTTGCAACCCGATATCACAATAGAACGTGAAATAGACACAGCAGTCCACGGTGTCCATTTCACGTACATGCGCACAGAAGTTGCAGTAACGGCAGAGGAAGATATTTTATTTCAAGCCAACATGAAAATAATCATGGAAAAGCATTTAAACAGACATTATTAACATTAACAGTTATATGTATATACATATTAGCTGCCTAGCTTAATCAATTTTGATGATTAAGGACCCTGGAATGTACTTCATACATTTTTCTCACTACTGACTTCGTGGCTTTAAATAGATTATTTCCTCCTTCTAGTAATGCAACATCTGCATGCGTGTCTGTTTCACAGTTTGGAGAGGCAAAAATGGACACGAATTTTCTTGGAAATAAGTGATGCAGTGCTGTAGTGTTGAGCTGCTTTTCCAATCCCATGGGTAAAAAATTGTGAAGCTTTGTGTTTGTCAGCTGTATCACAGTTGCTTTAAATATAATGTATATTCACTCGTCACACAGCAACTTTTTCTGTTTGATTTTGTGAGAAATGCCATTCAGGTGCCATCTGTGTTGTCGTCTTTGTTGGTTGCCTCACATTTTTGGTTCAGTCGGTTGATGGGAAAAGGTCAGAGATCACTCCCATCCTAAAGAAACACACACACCAGCACCACCCAGTTTTACAGCTCTGTTTGTGTTCACTGTGTGTGAACATGGCTGTTTATGTGCTTGTGCTGGTTTATCTCCTCCCTGTTGTGCAAATTTTTGCTTTTTTTTGTATTAATGCTTTTTTCAAACAAAACAGTGAGTGAACACTGCATACTTTGGCAGCATGAGCACCACTGAAGCTAATCTCCCAACTCTCTGGACTGCTGGCCCTGTGTCTTGAAGCAGCCAGTTGTCGTTCACACAAACCAGAGAGTTTTACTGGTGAGGAAAGTGGACGAAGTTAAAAATGAAATGTTCACATAGCATCAAGGTCTTGTCTCTAAGGACATTGGCATCATCTTTGTCCAGTGTCTCTCCATTGCTCTCCTCTATATTCTGTCTCCTCAACTCATTCTCAACATGTCCATATTTATTGCCCACTCAGAGGTAAATTAGTACAGAGCCTCAGAGTATATGCATGAAGTATGTGGATACATTTGCTCTAAACCTCTGCCGTGGCAGTTTTAGAATGTTTAAAGTATGAGCAGACCACTGTGCAAAAGTCTCTGGAAAGACATGGGACATGCTGATGCTCCAGGACTATTTGGGAGGAGGAGTAGGAGGAGCCACTTAATTAAAGCAAAGAGCTCCTTTCTGCTTCCTCGGTGGTGCCGCATTAAAATCTAATCTAATCAAAATAACCATGTTTTTAATTTAAGACAGACTCACTGTTGTCTCAGGACTTATTTTTGCAACAACTGATAAAGTTGAAAAAAATTGTTCTTCTTTCTTTGTTATTTACTCTGTACTTTCTGTATTATTTTATTGTATTATTACGATGCTTCAAAATGCTCCCAAAAGTTTAGTTAGTGTAGAAAACCACAGCTGATATGAGATTAATAAATTACTCTTTTGATGACCTATCTGTCGTTTGAGTGGCCTGACTGCAGTGGCTGTTGCTGTTTTGTTTTCTAAATGTTTTAAATGATGAAACAGTCCTTAAAGTAATTACTGTGTAACAGGGTGTTAAGTTTTTTTTATTTGTCTTTTCAATGTTTCCCTAGCTCCACATTTGACCTGATTTAGGCTCTTATCCCGAAAGGTGATGACTCAGTTTACTGGATATAAAACAAGCACTCTCTCCCGTTCTATTGGGACGCTCGGTCACATAGACAAAGACCCCCACACAGCCCGTCAGCCTGTAATCAGCTAGCTTTGTGTCTGCCCCCGTCCTGTTCCCATGCAGAGATTCCCAGCGGTGCTCTGGCAAGCTCATCCCCCACTTATTTGTCTGGTGCTGTCAGACCTTTTTTTTCTGTCCTTCTTTTTCCAGTCAAGTGGAACACATAGACACATGAACACACACACACACACAAAAACATGTAGCTTTCACTTGCACTTCACTTGTTGTGAAACTGTTGTGGAACTGTGTCATGGTATTAGTGCTGGTGTGTGGGGGTCGATGTTTGTGTGTGTTTGTGTGTAGGGGGTTTGGGATGCTAATTAAATACAGGGGAGGGGGTGTCACTAATCAGAGTTTGTGATTAGCTAATGAAGACGTCATGTTCTGTGCTGCATGTAGGAACTCAGCTGAGGGGCTGTAATGTTGTTTAAACATCCTCCCAGCGACCGGGGGTCCATGCTGACCCCAGAGGTATTTTATTTTTCTTATCTCACAGGTGCTTTTTTAAATTTATTTTATTTATTTATTTAGAAAGAGGGGCAATAGATATTAATGAACATTTAAACAAATGTAAATATGCCAGATTATAGCCTTGGGCTAATTTCCATCTGCAGACCCTCTGGCAGGTTGGTGTTAAACACAAGTTAGTAAAAACATACAGAAACACTATTTACAGGTCATGTGACAAGGACTATTGTTCAGTTTTTTAATGACTTTGTCGATCAGTTTGTTCTTAATGATATCAGAACATTGTTTTCTGTTTCTGCTTTGGTTAGTGCTTTTAAAAAATTAAAATGTGTTATGGCCACAGGAATAAAAAAACTTCTAACATTTAAACTTCTCTGATTCTTCATCTCATAAGCAAGAAATACTTTTGTTACCCTTCCGGAGCTGCAGCATGTTGTGTGTGTAAGTGGATGTGTGTGAAGGGGATATTTGGTAGCCTTTTTAATGCTGACTAATCAGATTGGCCCTGGCTTGATCCTACATATAGGTGTGTGTGTGTGTGAGACTGGGAGAGGCAGTGACAGATGAGGAGAGAGGTGAAGCTGAAGTGGTCTAACTGGAAAGCTTAACCTAATTTAAGAAGTCCTCAAAAGTGAGCTTCAGTTGTGTGTTTGAACTGAGATTGGTCATGTGTTAAAGGATAACATGGAAAAAACGCCACAAATTTTTTAAATTCAAAGTGATGTGAGTGTTCTGATAACAGGTATATGCAACTGAAGATGAAGTGCTATTTCAAGATAAACACTCAAACATATGTTTTTTTTAGCTCTTTACCGCTCAGCCATAAAAGGCTGATGGGGTGTTGTAGTCATCCCTCCAGGTTGGCAGATGGGCAGCTGGGCAGGCTGGACACCTAAGTTTGTGATAACTCAAGAAGGAAGTCACCTAGGATTTTCAAATGCCATAGGTGCATCTACCAAAAATCTCAGATAAGTTTGAGTCTTGGTGACCTCAACCTAAAGGTTAAAGGTGAGGGGTAGTTTTCTGAAAAGCTTGTGAATGTGATAACTCAACAACAAGGCGACGTAGGAGCTACAAATTGATATCATTGGTGTATCTCCTAGAAATATCTGAGGATTTTGAATCCTCAAAGTCAAGGTCAGAGGTTTAGTTTTCTGAATGTTTTTTGAATATGATAACTCCAGAATGCGACAGTGTATTCATATTCATACCACAGGTGCATCTACTGAAAATCTTGGATGAGTTTGAATCTCAGTGACCTCACTCTCAAAGTCAGAGTAAGTTTTCTGAAAGTCTTGTGAAATTGATAACTTGAAAACAAGGTGACGTGGATTTTGTAGAAACATCTCCAAAACTGACACCAGAATTCCTGCTAAAACAGGATACAGAATAGATGGGTTGGATAGATGGGCCAGAGGAAATGTAAGTAAATTTGATGTTGCAGGCCTTTATTTTTTCAGTTCATCTAAACTCAACCATTTCTTCCACATTTCTGTGAATTTGACACAGTGCCCATTTTGATGCATTTCTCTCCTTCATGGATAGAATGTCTTTATGACTGCAAAGTCCCAATAATTTTGTGCACTGTTTAGGACCAATAATGGAGGAATTCTCTACCACTTTTCTAAACAACAACATAGTAAACTAGAGATGCTTCAGATTTCCGGGAACATTGTGTACCCCATAGAAGTATGAGCTGGCATTAGTCATCGACCCTCTCATTGTTTTTGGGGGGTGAACCGGAGAAAGTGAATGAATAGTGGTTGACAGAGGGAGGAGAAGGTGGAGAGAGCTGCATAAATTAAAGAGAGGCTTTTTGTGCCTTCACCCCATCCTGAATTTATGTTCTCAGAAAAGTTTGCTGCATCCACTAATACTGAATGAAATTAGCAAGTCAGTTTTTAGCTGTGTTGTTCTAATTGTGATACTGGGCTTTACGACAAAGCAGATTAGGAATCAGCCCTAGTACTGTTTTTAGAAAGCCCACAAAGAAGTATTGAGAACTGAAAAAAAAACACCTGGACGTCTTTGTGTTTTATTCTGCAGGGCGACAACCAACAACAAGGTGAAGGAGACGGTGGCTCTAGAGCTCAGCTTTGTCAACTCCAACCTGCAGCTACTCAAAGAGGAGCTGGAGGAACTTAACAGCAGCATGGATGTCTACCAGACAGACAGGTGCACAAATGCATGCGTATTTGTCCCATTAATTCCAGGCTGTGCTTATTAGACTAATGATCATTATAATTGGGGAAAACAAGCATCCATTACATTTTTGTAGTGACGCTGGCACTGGGTGTATAACCTCCTTGTACTTGGATATTTGTGATGACCAGTTTATGTGTTGGTCCTTAGAAATGTTTTAATAATAGGATGGGGTTTAAGTCAAAGTTGGGTTTCAGTCACATTTATTTAAAGAGGCTAAAGGAAAAAAGCATCCACATATGTGTCATTCTTTCTGTCACAACCATAAGATTTTTGCCTCCACGGCTCCGTATCGTGTGAGGGAAAAATCCCCTGATTAGAGTATAGTCAATAACCCTGTGGTGGCAGTGTGCACATTTGTTGTTATTGTAAATGGCAGTAGGTAACTGTGGGGGGTGACAGGCTTACTGCTTGGCTTTAGCTTTGCTGATTAGCAGGATGAAGCACTGAGAATAGTGCTCACTGGTTTTGAAAACAAGCAGATGGCAGCAGCAGTCATTGTCGAAACCTACACTACCTCTGTTAATTTCTTTTTGTAGTGAGGCTGTCAATGTTCCAATGATCCCACTTGGCTTAAAAGAAACCAAAGAGGTGGATGTCACTGTTGCTATCAAGGTGAAGTCAGCATCTATCTACCTCCTTCTCTTTATTTATCCAGTTTGTTGTTCTTTTCAAGAAAAACTTGTGTTTGAGTGAAGAATTATTTCAATAAATGTATCCTAATAAAAGTTACTGAATCAATGTTTTTAAGCTTATTTTACACGCAGTGTTCATGTTTTTATGCTAATTTACATTAGTTGGCCTGACTTCTTTTCATTACTTGTTCATTACTAAACATTTGACACAGATGGGTAGTTTGATGAAATATCATATTTTTGTGCTTATTTGCTTTCCCTTTTCCAGAAGAATAACCAAAATCATCTTCATGTGGACACGTGAAGATAATTTTTTTGTCACCGTGTCTCTGTCTGCCTTCACAGGACTTTATATGTGAGCACTATGGGGAGGACAGCTTTCTCTATGACAAGGAAATCAAAGAGCTTATGGAACTTAGACAGGTTAATAAATTCACCCATACAGTTTGATCCAGAGTAAACATTCTGCTCATCATGGGTAGAAATGATGTAGAAAGTGGAATGAAAAGTATTGATTTATTTAAAGTTGATGTCTCTTTTAGGCTGTCTGTAGCTGACATTAAATGAATGTTAACATTTAGTTTGTTGTTGATTCAATCAGGCCATGCGTACACCCAGTCGAAACCAGGCCGGTCTGGAGCTGCTAATGGAGTACTACAATCAGCTGTACTACCTGGATCAACGCTTCTTCTCTGCTCAGAAGAATCTGGGTGTTCATTTCCACTGGTATTATATGATAGCATAATTTAAATACTGAAGGGTTATCATAATCATTAACATGCATTTTACAGTATGTGCAATATGCAGTAAAATAACAATGGGCAAAGGAACAGTTTTTTAATTGTGCACTTTAGCTGTGTTGTTACTACATCCTGGTGCCTTACTGCTGCTCTCTCTTTCAGGAGAAAATTGAAGCATTCAATAGTTGTTTTCCAGGGACAGATTTATGTAATGTGACCATAAAACCATTTTTCCAGAATTAAAATCTCATTTATGTTTCTAAGTGGTTGGCTACAAATTTTAGTTGAGCTTGAAGGTGGTAATTATGAAGCAGAGCATGGATGGCAGTGTCTCATTCCATGACTGTAAAAAAAAACACTTAAGCTTAATAGTAGATGAAGACACTTTTGTTCCAGCAGCTTAAACTCTGGAGGGGCTTTGCTCATTGGTAGTTCCCTTTTTGTTTGTCATTCAGGTATGACTCTTTGACTGGCGTTCCATCGTGTCAGCGTGCGCTGGCCTTCGAGAAGGGAAGTGTGTTGTTCAACATCGGAGCCCTGTACACGCAGATCGGAGCACGACAGGACCGCTCTGCAACAGCTGGCATAGACCGAGCTATAGATGCTTTTCAGCGCGCTGCAGGTAGCACAATGGCAAAATCATACATCAAAATACTTGATTTCTCGTTTTGTGAGCCTTCAAATACGAGGGGCATGTTTTTTACACAAAACAGCACAAGGCAATATAGTCCTAGTGCTGGTCCCAAGTCCAGATAAATAGGGAGGGTTGCATCAGGAAGTACAGCTGATGTAAAATCTTGACCAGATCAAAGATGCAGATCAGAAAAAATGAATTTTTCATTCTGAATTTGTCGGGTCTGGGTTAACAATGACTGCATACTAACCCTTATGCCGAATGTGCAAACTGCATGATAAAGGAGACTGCAAGGCAGTGTTCTGTAGATTGTAGCTAGGCATGAGCAGAGAGGGATAAAGGTGGTGAGCCATACATGAAGCTAAGGGAAAGAGTTGTGGAAGTTAGGTTAAGAAGAGGTTTGATCAGCGAGCAGCAGTCTGGCTTCGTGGCAAGAACTACACATGCAATGTTTGCTTTGAGAGTATTGATGGAGGTGTATATCGGAGGTCAGAAACAGCTTCACTGTTGTCTTGTTGGATCTAGAGAACGCATGTGTTAGGGTACCAAGAATAGGAAATGTGGTATTGCATGAGTAAGTCAGAAGTGACAGAGAAGAATGCGACATGTAAAGACGAGGGATAGTGGATATATTGTGTAAAGGATGTTGAAGATGAAGCTTCCAGGCAGAAGGAAAAGAAGAAGACCTCAGAGGAGCAAAGGAGGACGTGCAGAGGGTTGCTGTGACAGAAGACAATGCTAGGGATAGGTCGAGATAGAGGCAGATGATCCACTGTGGCAATCCCTAAAAGGAGCAGCCAAAACAAGAAGATTGCCATTAATATAACAGATTTTGTTGTTGTTTATAATCAGCTATTGATGATTTTGAGGTACCCAATCCTGTAAATTTAAAGCTTTTGTTCAGTTGTTTTTATTATATACTTTTGATATAATAAACATTGATATCAGAATGTTTGAATTCACATGGCTAATTTGTAATGTATTTATTGGTAATTTATTTATTTTTTAATGTGTAGGTGCATTTAATTATCTTAAAGAGAATTTTTCCAACGCTCCAAGTCTGGACATGAGTAGTCCATCACTCTGCATGCTGGTGCGGCTCATGCTTGCCCAGGTACAGGAGTGTGTGTTTGAGCGCATCACCCTGACCACACAGGACACGCACTTTACCTCCCAGCTCCGGCTGGCACAGGAGGCTGCACGGGTGAGTAAATACATATGTGCTTTGTTTGTGTTATTACCCTTAATGCCCTTTGTTTAACTGTATGCATGTGTGTTTTCTGTAGGTGTCAGATGTTTACTTGTTAGTGCAGCAGACTATGACACAGCCTTTGATGAAGGACTACGTACCATTTTCATGGGTGTCCATGGTTCAGGTAAAATCTGAACACTTCCGCGCTCTCTCCCACTACTACGCTGCTGTTGCACTCTGCGACCACATGTGTAAGTACAAGATTTACTCACATGTTCATTAGGGAGAGTTCATACTTCTTGTTTTGTAGATAACCTTCTGCCTTGGCTATATTTAATTTTGAATTAAAGCAGTACACTTGTGTCTTTAAAAAGTCTTAAAATCAAGTTGAAGCTTGTTACATACGTAAGACACTTTTTGCTGCTAATTTATAAACAGACTGTAATGTAATATTTTTTTTATCAAAGACTGACATTCTTGGTGGTGTGAGAGTGGTGTCAGACTGATCCAGCAGGCAGTGTGAGACGTTATCTCGTCTGTGCTTGTCATCTTGTCAGCAGTCTGTTAATGCCTAATGAGGCAAATTCATCAACAAAGCTGTTTTCCTCTGTCACCTATGTAGTACACCTCTGTCCTGTGTATCACCTATGCAGCATCAAAAGCACTGTGTTTTGAAGAAGAAAACTGACATTTCTAGTGGTTTACCCAATAAACCTAACTTTATTGTATTCTTTTCCAGAGATAATACTCACTTAATTAGCATTTCTAAACAGATCTTAGCTGTATATATTTTTCCATAGTGTTGGCAGGAGGGGAAGAAGAGGAGGAGGAAGCTGAGAAGGCCTTTATTCAGTGCCATGCCAGTGTTCCTGCTGGGCCACAACTCAGCCAGGTTCTTCGAGATCCTGAAAAAAGACGAAAACTTGGTGAGTTTGTATTCATCACGTAGCTGCTATGAGCTGCGTTGTGCAAGCATCTTGAAAATGAACCAAAATGCTCATGTTATAACTTGAATAGTTATATTCCCATTCTTTGAAACCTTTTTTTAATAATAATTTCTGCTTACATGAAGGTAAGGCCCACCTGCGGCGTGCTGTAATCAGACATGAGGAGGCCATGCGTGTCCACAGTCTGTGCAAGATCCTGAGAAAGATGGATATCCTGCAGGATGTGCTCTCTGCCACACACAAACGTTCCCTGGACAAATACTCAGAGCTCGACCGAGAGGACGACTTCGATGAAATTGCAGAGGCCCCAGAGATACAGTGTGAGTGTCACATATAATGGTAAAATCAATGATTACATTTTCTGTTTGATTAAATCATAGTGACTAACTGGCTTCTTTACCAGCTCATACCCACCAGAAACCAGACATCATTCCACCCAACTTCTCCACAGTCAAGGTTACTGATATCTTCCAAAGACTGGTAAGTCCCATAGGGAAGAAATAATACACAGTTGGCAGATACCTACCCAGGTTAGGTAACCATTAAAAATTGTTTCCTGTTCTTTTGCTCTAGGGTCCACTGTCAGTGTTCTGTGCGAGGGCTCGCTGGGGCCCGATGCGTGTGATCTGCCTGAATAAGAGAGAAGGAGGACTGGGACTCACGCTCAGAGGAGACTCTCCTGTCCTGGTGGCTGGAGTGGTGCCTGGAGGCTGGGCAGAGGTGAGATAAACCCTGCACATCTAGAGAAGATTCTGTGAGAAGAAAAGATCTTCTCTTGTATTCTTGTAGTCTTATTTCTATTTTATTTTTATCCTCTCAAAAGGAATTGATTTGCAGTTTGATTCTAAGATTTAAATATTTTAAGACCTGCTTTCCTGTCTACTTATTGTATTATTATGGGGTCTACCTTACAATATAAAGTGCCTTGAGGTGACTGTTGTGATTTGGCGCTGTATAAATACAGTTGAATTGAACTTGATCAAGTAGTTAACTGCAAAAAAGAGCCATTCATTTGTTATTTAGAAAAGAGTTGTGAAGGACATGAAGGAGACAAAATGCAATACACTTCCTTCTTTTGTCTCCTTCTTCATTGTGGGAATATATTGCGGGCCTGCTACTTGCATGAAAAAAATGAGGTCAAAACATGTAATTAAGATGAACTAATGATGTTACATGATGTGTTCAGGAGGCTGGACTGAGGGAAGGAGACTACATAGTAGCAGTAGATGGAAAGGACTGTAAGTGGGCCAAACATGGTGAGGTGGTCCACATGCTGAAGAGCTGCAGTGACAGAGGGGTGGAGATCAGTGTGGTCACATTACACTCACATGATACACAGGTAAATATGTGTATGAGCTATGTAGGGTATTCATAAGCATGTAGATTTCAGATAAACTTCCTTCGTAGAGATGTAGAGAACAATAAATTGTTGCAAAGCTTTTTGGTGGCATTTATTTTTTGTTGTTTTCCATGGATGTCTAGCCCTTTTCCAGCATGAGCAGCATGAAAAGGCCATGCTCAGTGACCTTTTTTCAGAATTTACCTTTCTGTCTCTCTGATGGATGCTTTTTACACCTCACCCGTAAAATGCTGAAACAAGGGAATATGAGTGTTTGTCATTTAATTACATTTGAGCCATCTTTATACTAACCTAGTATTAGCCTGATTGCTCAGGGCAATGCAATACTTTATTTTTAAACCCTTGAATCAAAACTGAAAGTCTCTTCTTTGATTCCTTAAATTGTGGAAATATCTGTGGGGTTTGGCTGCTGTTTCAGTGGTTGTGTACCTGTGTGTATGCTTTTTTGTTTGTTAGCAGGTGGAGAGGAGGGCAGTTATGCTGTCGCTGTGCAGCGACAAAGAAAACACTCGGCATCGTCTGCTGTCTGGGGCTAAAGGCCAGAGCTCCGCCTCTTTGCTGAACTGGAACAGGAAGAAAAAGAGGGAAGGCAGCACGATCACAAAAAGACTTGGAAGCGCTTTCAGTTTGTCATTCGGAAGCATCCGAGACACTGAGGCCATGTACTAAGAGACGAATTCAGAGGAATCACTCAGGGAATAGCAGCGGAGCACACGGTACAAGTACAGCAGACACAAAGAAACAGCCTCTCCTGAGTTTAGGAGGTAGGTGATGATGCAAAGCTGGAACAAAAGAAAAGAAAAAACATGTATAGTCAAGGAACAAGTGCTGTGCCAGGTTCTTCTTCACACTCCAGCATATCTGACATCTTCGTCAGTTAATCATTGAAATATGATGTTTATTACTTTTACCCATTGTACAAAAGTGAATTTGAAGTATCACAGAATTGTGTCCTGGCATCTTTCTAACAGCGACTGCGCAGTAGGTGAGTCGATAGTGGAAATATGTCTGTAATTTCTCACCTGAAGTCACTACTATGAAGAATCTGTTTGCAAATGAGCAGCACAATATGGCACTGCCCACATCCAAGATACCATGGCTTCACTTTTTGGGACTGTCTACATTGTACAGGCCTTGAACAGTGTCCCCAGTTCCTACACTGGGGTAACCTGACTTTGAATTTAAATTGTATGTTTAGGAAGAATGTGGTGGCAATGTATATAAAGTCAAAATGTGTGAGTAAATAGATGCAAATTTTCCACAGGGCCTAGCAAAGTTACATTTGTAGAATTTCAATGAGCTTTATGTCATATAAGTGCAGTAGCTACAAAAATAAAAGCACAAAAGTATAAAGGGAGCAAAATAACAGAACTGAGGCTTCTTCTTAATTAATTTCAAGGCTTTACAAACATACATGCTTGCTGTGTTGAAGCTGACAGCTGTACAGTACCCTTCTTTATGGACACACTTTAAGTGTTAAAAGTGACTCTGGTCTGTTTTGTTGATACCAACAAAGGATCACCCACACAGCCCATTTTGTTGTCTTGGTTTCCTCTGTGAGACAGGGTGCCACAGACTTTGATAATATACCTGTTTTCACACACAACCTGCAGGCATAAGATTTTTTAATAAATCAGTAGAAAGAATTGCACGTGAGAATGTAAAGTCTAACACTAGACATTAACTAAATCAGACATGTAATGCTTTTTACCCTGTTGGCGCTCCACTATGGAGATTATGTCACAGTGTGACATTTGTTCAGGTGGCTGTCCAGTAAATTCACATAGAGTGAGTGAGTGGATGTTATCAATCAGAATATTTCTAGCAGTATGAACAAATCTGAAGCAAACTGCTATGAAAAAAGGGAAACTGTGGGATGGTTCAAGCATGATTTTCCTCAATTGTTTGGAATTGTTTGAAAACAAATACATTTTACTGAACTTTACTGAACTTTCAGCAAACAACTATGATCAACATCCCCTTCTAGTTAATAAATGCAAGGTTAACAGTGTTAGCAGAGCCCATTGTTCAAGCACTGTACAATTCTGCCTGATACAGCTGGCAAAGTTATTTGGTAAGAATAAAGAAAAAAACAGCTTCTGTCAGAGTGTAGTGGTTTACACAAATTACTTTGTGGTTGCATCAGAAGAGATATCTGGTGTAAAAACCTGCCAATGTGGTGCTACCCACTGTGATGATCCCTTGTAAATACAGCTGAAAGTAGCTTCTCTAAATGTTAATATTTGTTGAAGAAGATAGAGCAGAATTAGCAAGGAAGTACAAAATTTCTTGTACTGTATTCTTGATGGGACCGAATAGACCAGCAGTCACCTGTGATTAACCACTGAAGGCCTCCAACGGTTAATCTGTTCACTTCTGACAGAAAGCACATTCAGCTTTTAATAGATTAGGATTAATTCAGACAGTCAGTTCAACCTGGATTTATTACTAAAAGTGTCATGTTGGAATTAATCCTTAGATCATTTTTTTATGTTTAGTTTTATCATTTCTAGGTGACTAAAACACTTGAACTTTGCTCTGTTTTCTAATGTAGTTTTAGTATTTTGAATGCACTGTGACAAATATTTTGTAAATGTAGTTTCAGGTTTTACAATAATGCCTATGATGTACTCACATTGAGAGGATGTGTGTTTGGATGTCAAATGTGATAAAGAGCAATCATGTAGGAAAAGCATGACATGAGGTGTGATTACACCAAAGTCCACTGTGTTTAACAATGTCCAGCCACTGTACTGTATGTTAGAAACAGCCAATGTTGCATCTGTAGTTGTAAGAGCTGTATTGAGAAAATGTTTCTTTCTTTAAATCAATGCTGTTTGAACGTTTTGTAAAATTTTGATACAACTTGAAGTAGCATTTTTTTCCAGCTTAAAATGAATGTTATTTGAGTTTGTCGTGTTCACTGTGACATGGCGGTCCATAGTCATGAGTGTGGAAAGCATGAGGGGACAAGAGCAAAAATTAGTGTTTATCTGGGTCTTGTTTCGTCTAAAAAATCTTAAATATAGTTTTAAAAGGTCTGACAACTTCTTTCACAATGATGATATTCACATTCCTTTGAAAATGACCAACTTTTGTGCCACTTTTGACAGTAAGAAGACTATTTGAGATGCGATACCATGATTCGTGCATCCACCAGAGTATGAAAGAAAACACTTAAGCATAGAAAAAATTGCTTGTATGAATAGACGTGAACGAGGTACGTTGTATAAAGCACTTTGATTGCTCAGCTATAGTAGAAAAGCACTATATAACAACCAGTCCATTTAACATTTACTTTTCTCCACTTGTGTTAGCATAGAGATGCTAATTTCTTTCCTCTGTTCGCTAACATCAACTACTCCAGTTTCTGGAACTGAGATGACAGTTTCATTTTCTCCATCCTGTGTTTGAATATTCTTGATAACCCGTTTCTGACCCGAGGCTGCCAGATAATCTTTCCTTCATCCTGCTTTTGAAACATTTTTTAATTCCCTGTTGAGACACTGAGTTACCAAATATGCTTCTCTACATCCTATTTTTTCCATTACATTTCAGTTCACATTGTCAGCAGGTTTCCAGATACACTTTCCCTATTCTACTTGTTATATTTGTCTGCTTAATTTGTATTTGTTGAGGATTCTCCTGTGCTGTCTTTAGCCCCAATAAAATTTAGCAATTACATGTTATGAAATATAGCATGTACTGTCTTCTGAAAGGACAATATATATTACTACTGTATGGGATATACTCACACCCCTTATCAGTTCAGGTGCTGTAGGAAACTGGTTCAAATGAAAGAATGTTGCTACAATCCAGCACCTGATTTCAGCTCTTTGTTTTCACAGCTTAAGCAAGGCCAGTGTACATCTAGGCCACGACTTTCTTCCATCTTCCTTCACTTGAATGCTAAATCTTTGTCAGAAAGTATTACTCAGTGGTCTTATCATTGCATTTCCGTTCTCTGCAAGCATTGTTGCATGCAGTTATGTGGTCAAGTGTGTTTGATCAGTAGTGCTCTGACTACAAATGGAAACCAGATGGGATTTTCTGCAGTATGAGATCTTGTTCCTTTCCTTCAGATTACACATTTATATGCAGGAAATGCAGATTGCTCCTCAAGCAGTCTACCTATTGTTGATGAACCGCTGCTGCGCGGCTTTGGTTTACTTGCACCCAATGTTGATAAGTTAAACTTCTGATGCTTTCAAATCCATAACACCCTGTTTCTTAGGGATCAAGCCATTTCAGACAGAAACCACTGAGAAACGTGACCACACAGCTCTTACTGGATCATTTCCACAGTTGCCCAACAGCACAATTACGTTGACACCCTTTGCCAGCTTCAATGGCAGTTTTTAGGGCCAGCTGCGCTTTCAGCACAACACTTAGCACTGCACACATGCGAATCCAGCCAGTTTTGGCGGTTTTATGGCAGAATGCGGTTCTACACCAAACGACCCAAGTTCAGTCAGAAAAGTTTCTTCTAGCCAACATCAGCTGTTTTCAAATTTGTTCGGTAGTAATAGTGGCTCTTTTCCAGAGGCATAAATCATCAAGAGATCCATTTTCATTCACGTAGACAACCCAACCTTGTTTGACATAACCATCTTAGACAGAAGCAACTGCTGTCTTTGACTTAACATGACTAGATTTAGAAATTTGGTTCATTTCATCCCAAACCTGCTTTTCTGAATTTTCAGTCACTCCCTATTCATGTGAATTAAAATGTGTACCATCAAAGTGTCACTACTCATTACAAGCCTTCAACATTAGATTCATTTCTCTCACTGTCTACATTTAACTTCCGATCCCCGATCCTAAAGCGTCATTAGCATTTAGTCGGTATACAATCACAGCCACCCCGTGCAAATCCATTCTGCTTTCTTTGGGGATCTGCCAGGGCCAGAAGCCACTGCTGACTGTTGAAGAGGCGCTGGCCTAACCTATTGTTTCGTTTGGAGTTAGTAAAAATTGAGATTAAGTTAATAGAAATTCATTTTTTTCCTTGTCTGTACTTTTTTGTGTGATTATTAAGTAAGTCTTAAATTGGCTTCATAATTGTGTTTACAGCTCCCAGCTTAAATTTAAGGTGTTGCAGCTTGCAGACGCACTGCATTATTTTGCAATGACATAGATTTATGTCTGTTGGCTATGTGTTTCTATCACTACAAAAACTTTGTTTATGGCATTAGAAAAATAGATTTGAACTCTTTGAAAATACTTTTTAAATCTTTTTATTGTGATTAGACTCAAATACTTTTTTTGTTATGTCCTCTCTGGCTTTCCGTGTGTGTGTGTGTGTGCATTTGAGTAAATGCTTGGCATTGACTGTTTTTAAGAGAAATGAATTTGTGTTTTTGCCTGAATATGTGACCATCCCTAATATTGCATTTGGGGATTTGCACAGTACTTTTTTCCTTAAATAAATACAATAAAAGTGAATAATGACCTGCTGCCATTCTTACTGTTGCATTTACTGTAACACATGCAGTAGCACACATCATAGAATCATGATGCATTGAGCCACAGCTTTTAATCTTTGAATTCAGCTGTTTTCAGTCTCATTACCACAGGTGTGTGTCTTTCAGATGAAATGTGAGGAAGTATATCCAGCTCATAGGGGGTCATGTGATTGCTGGTCTTTACCTTAAAATATAAAGCACCTTAAAGTTACTGTTGTGAATTGGAGCTGTATCGATTAAAATTAATCTGTACTTTCAAATGCATCGTTTCATACAACTCAACAAATATCAGCAAATACAAAGTGTTCCTATGCAGTGTAGCGCAGAGTCTGCTGAGTGTTCTCTTTAGTATCACTTATCAAACTCCACCTTTACACAGCTGTATTCTGGCTGGAGGGTTAGAAACCAGCCACAAAGGCTTATGTAATATCTGCTCTTATACTACAGGGTAAAGTTGGGTACATCCACAAAGCATACCAAACCTCAGAAGCAGCAGCACAGGTTACCGGCCCACAGCTTACATGTAAAGAAAGTAAATCTAGTAAAGCTAAAACAATTTTGTACATGACTCGTTTCTACTTTCAGTTATTTCTACATTCTGCATCAGAGCTTTTGGTTCCTCACTTGCAAAGTTCCACTTTAGGCCCAGAATACATGTTTATGTCATTTTATGCAGAGACTGCCCACCTCTGCGGCACTGTTTTTAAGGGTGTTATTATGGAAGTTTCTGATAAATCCATCAGTGTTATGTGTCAAAAGGAAGGACACACGTGAAATGTTTCCATCACTGTTAAAAAAATAAATAAAATATGTCATAAATATTTGGTTAATGTGAACTCTAACGTACACCGTTGATTTAACACCTGTTGGAACAGTAACAGTTGTATGGAATGATACCACACTGATCATTAATAAGTGGTCAGTCACAATCCAGGCTGTGAAAACTTTCACGTTTCCCTCAGTATTGTGTTTAAAGCACGTAAGTTTTTCTTCTGGTTAGAACGCCGACTATATAAACAGGTTACAGTTTTGAAGATGATTTATTACATTTATTGCATTTCATATGGGCTTAATTGGATTCCTATGGACAATGTTCTTCTGCTTACATCACAGTCTGATATGAAGAACAAGACAAAGTGAGAACTATTTATTATAGAAGTGCTCACTTCAACATTGTTTTCCCATTGAGGCAAACTGACAACACACAAGATGTGCAGTAAATATTGAGAGAAGCTGTTTGTGCTTCTTTAAGTTCTTTTTTCTGTAATTCACAGCTGCTGCTGGAGACTGCACACACAGAGCAAGAAGAAGCTATATCCCACTGGAGCGTGCTGAGCAAAGAAGCTTGGTTATCTTTGCGACTGTACACGGAGACCAACAGTTCCTCAGCAGGCTGTCTGGTGGCAACTTCAGTCCATCTCAGGAACCCGTGGAAGGGTTTGCAGGCCCCAAACCGCTCTGCTCCAGCTCTGCTATGACTGACATGTGCTTGAATTCTGCAGGGTGATGGTTAAACATCTCCACCAATCGGTAAGTCTCCCGTCTCTGGGTGCCGTAGAAGAGCTGCACCTGGTTAGCCAAGCACTGAGCCTGCTGAACGGTCTGTGGAGATGAGGGACAGATGTTGAGGCCTTAAATACACATCAGATGTGACACACTACATCCGCTGCATCGCTGTATTTGTGAATCTCTCAAGAACATAAAACCTCTCAAGTCTATTCATATAGGCTCGTATGTGGACTTACTATGAACTTGGGATCCATCTCTGCTGTCATGAGCACGATGCCCTTCTCCTCCTTCAGGTCTGGGTAGTGGTATAGGATCAGCTGACTGGGAGCATTCTCACCCAGCGTCTGCACACAGACACCATCAGGTAATTTACCGTGATAAACTCAAAGTGGAATTACGAGAGTTTGGGCAAAGTTGCTGTTACTGTAAATAGCCAAGTATGAAAAGATCAACTCGTTTCCAAAAAACGTAATTGCTAATTTCAAAAATGTAACAAAAAAAAGACTCTTTCCATCTTTTATGGTTAAAAATACCAAAGGAAAGGTGCCAGAAGGAATGACTCTGTAAAGCCTAGTTTCACAAGCTCTGGAATCCAGAGAGTAATGACCTTTCCCAGAAGCATGTCAAGGTGTTGTAAGTCTGAAGCACTTTACCTGGACGTTGATGAGGGAGGTGAAGTGGAGCTCGTGTCGGGACCACTGACCCACAAAGAACTCGTAACCCTCTTTCTGAGGCAAAGCGTAAAGGAACTGAGATGAAGGAGAAACACAGAAAAGTCACCGAGGTACAACGACTTAGAAAAAGAGGGAAAAAAAATTGGGCTGCCTGAAAACAGAATAACAGCATCATGAAAGTCTTGATGATCAGATGGTTAATGAATAATCACAGGTATGACAATTTAAAGTCTAGTACTTTGCAGCTATTCAGCCAAAGGTTGTTGCTGCTTTTGAAATACCCATCAATCACTTTCTGCAGCTTTTTTTTCTTATCTTCAGTATTTTTATTCCTTTGCTCCGAACTTTGGTCAGTGTTGCTGTTATTAAAGTGTTCAGAAATAACGTTGGCTTAGCTTCCAGAGCTTGCAGCATTGATCTTACCATTGGGCAGGACTGTGATCTGCTGAAAATCATCTCATAGATCTGTGTCTGCAAATACAAGAGAGGAGAGAATATTACATCATTATGAACAGTGCTTATCACAATTTAATCTGCAAATGGTATCGTTGCAGTGTTAGAGTGTTATTATCAGTCAATACCAAACTGCACAGAAAAGCCCCAAAGAAAAAAAAATCTGCAATTTAAATGTGTAGTTGAGTCAAAAACAAACATTCTAGGAAAGCAAGCACTTTAATTTTTTCTGTGGTATTGCTGACACCCTGTCAAAGGAACTCTCTGCATCACTGCACAGCTTGTCCTTTTGCTTGTACATCATATGTGAGTTAGTATTACCTAAATAGCAATGAGACCACAGACTGTATATAAAATATCATCTTGCAGACAGCCGATCATCTTCCTCCATTTCACCAAACATCCTTCATTACATCCATGACTCTTCTCTCTTTTCTTCCTGCTCTGCACACGTCCAAACCATCTCAGCTTTGTCTCCAAACATAATCTGTCCCTCTTATGCACTTGTTTCCAATCTTGTCCACCCAAGTGAAAATATTACATTTTCATCTCTGCCTCCTGTCTTTAGTTTGACCATCACAGCAGGTCTCACTACCATCTTGTAAACCTTCCCTTGCTCATGTCCTTCTGTCACAAATCACCCCTGGCGCTCGTCTCCACCCAGTCCTGCACCACAACTCACATACTTCTCTATCACTGCTGACCACCTCATGCAGTACCATCGAGGTTTTCTTTGTTTAAAAAAAAATGTATTTGTATAAAATATCACATCATAAAAATTAAACCCGATGCTAAATTTACAAAACCCTGCATTCTCTTGCATGGACAGCAGGGGGTGATTCCTCCTACTTGGTTTGGTTGTGAGGAAGAACATGGCCCTCAGCTTTGTCACTCTGTGACCTAAGTAAACACTTTTTTGGTCAGTCTGTGGTCTCAGCTCTTATTTACAAGTTATGCTACATAAAGCACAAAGTTCATTTTGGAAATTGAGCTTATTATTAGAATCAGAAAGACAGATAAATTACGCTACGTTCATTGGCCAATTAGTTAATCACAACTGTTTAGCCAATGAGCATGTAGTGTCACTTGATTTCTGTCACATCCGGTGTTTAAAAGCACATCTTTCCATCAAAGCTCATTGAACCATCAGATTTACTCTAAAGACTAATAGACAAAAACAAACAATCAGAAAGCCACCAAATATGAATATTATTTTCACATTTAAATCCAAGCAAAAAATAAAGGAGATAAAAACATAAAGAGTTTTAAGCTTACTGGGATGATGGCGCTGACTGTATCCTTGGTAGAATAATACTTCATCCAAAGCTGAGAGAAAAACAGGAAAGGTGAAAACCGTTTCAAAAGGTTTCTGTACAGAGAGTCTGAGGCTGATGTGCACAGGCCAATCCCACACAATCACCTCTGCAATCTCCTCGCCTGTCTTGTCCTTGATCATCTCCAAGTTGAGGATGGAGCCCAAAGTCTAAAGAAAACACATCACAGTCTGATAGAGACAACAGCAGAAGGGGAAAGTGACTTGAGAACCTCACTGTAATCACTTAAGTTGCTAACCAGCTACTGCAGTCACTCACAGCTTGCAAGGAAGATGCTAATGTGCCTGCAGACACTTGTGCGCTACATGCCAAGTGATGTAAAACAGTGGAAAGTGCAATGTAAACCAGAAACAGAGACAATTCACCTTCAAAATAAAAGCTGCGGCTTTTGAAATGCTTTGCTTGTAGCAGTTAGGCATAACTCTTAATTTGAAGGCAAACAGTCTCAGTATTCCATTTGTGTCCTATTCAAGATCCACTGCTGCCAACTGAGGCCTAAACCGCTTCTAGCTTTAGCTCACCTTATTCTTTGTAAAACCTCCTGATGTTGTGTCACCAGCTGCCGTCTTGTCCCCTTTTTCCAGCTGCAAAGATTCCCACAGCAAAAAGGAAAGGAAGACATTGAAATTCACTAACTACAACCAGACCATCCTAATGCAAACCAGTTACACACATCTGAATAAAATTGTCTACGCAACAAGACAATTGTTAACAAGTGGTAGTTGTTAGAAACGAAACAGTTCCTAACTAGTCCATTGTCTCATCATGTTGTTCAGTTGTTAGCCTCGCTGATACTCCACCTCCTGCTCCATAAATCTGACGAACTCTGCCTGCTTCGAGTGTCCCAGCACTTCCTTCTTGGCTTCATGCCTTTTCTCCAGTCGGGTCTTGTACTCCTGCGGTTTGGCACTACAGAGCATTCAGACAAAGTCAGTGTAAAAACAAATTAACTAACTCAAAGGAGCTTGCAAAGAAAAGCGTCTGGACTTCTTTAAGTTGCTTGAAGATGTTTCACCTCTCATCCGAGAAGCTTCTTCAGTGAAGAAGCTTCTCGGATGAGAGGTGAAACATCTTCAAGAAGCTTCTCATCCGAGAATCTGCTTTTAACAACTAAGTTTTAACTCATCTGCTTTTAACAAGTAAACTGTTAAAAGCAGAGATTCATTCACTATCTTCCACTGGGTACTATTCCAACAACTCTCAAAGTAAACAAATGATAAAAGATTCATATTACATTTATGAAATTGATTTAATGGATATTTTTAATATTTATATATAAATATTTCATATATACTACATGCTGGATTTCTCCTGCATTTTCACACGCCGACCCATTATAGTTTAACAATAGATATGCATATTAAAAACATATCAATAAATAATATTAGACAACTTCACTGTGGGTGAAATCTTTAAAGAGATATACCTCAGCGTTAATGTGAAACTGTAAACGACGGGAAACCTATCGTTTGTAACGGGGTTGTGGTGGTGTGTGGCTGGTGGCTGACCTGCGCAGTTTCTGGATCTTGTCCTGGTACTTGCTGTAGTACGGATTCTCCTCTAGCTCGGGCTCCTTCCGCACCGAGAAGGCTCGGAACTGGACCGGGACCAGCCCGGGGATCAGCGTCCTGATGCCAGTGGCCCTGACCGCTAACATCCCCCGGTACAAACATGACATTTGCACCATTGCGGCCGCCATCTTTCCATCGTTCCCGTCCCACATCTATAATACTCCGGCGGAGAGAACGGTTTACATATTAGTTCCGCTAAACAAAAAACAACAAAAGACAAAAAAAATCAAACAGTTATCGCAAATAAAGTATCGACTTGTTTCAACATGTTTGTACTTGGACTACCCATTTACACCATAATAACAAAGTCATGTTTTGTAGTAGCAGAATATGACTTTTTACAGAGAGAGAAGGAGAGATAGAAAATTGCAACTTCGTGTTTAGAAAATGTGTAAATAAAGTAAAACTAAGTAAAATTAAATGAAAAAAAAAATGATAGTTTACAACACGTAATCTTTTAAAATTCATCTTCAAATATACATAGGTATAACAATTAAGAAGATAAGATAAGATGAAGGCAATCCATGCGGGTTTGTGTACATTTTTACAATGCTTGTATCTCTAGGCTGATGATCTCAGAGATAAGTGGACGCCTGCAATTTCCATCCTTATGTTACAGCCGTTCCCTTAAAAGCTGGAGGATTATTCTCGTTATGTATCTCCAAATGTATCAAACAGCAGTGGTGAAAGATGAACTGCTTTAAGTCTGATGTCTGTTCTGACACACTGTAACCTGTAGAGGTCACTGTTTACTTTCAATACAAACTTCAGTGTTTTCACTATACATCAAAGCAGCCTTTGTTATATTAATGCCCTCACTTACTGAAGACTATCAGCTATATAATAAACTGCTCCAACTCCGAGGAGTCACTTACAGCTCTGACTTCCCTCACTGTCTGTAAATACAACACACACGCATTATTTATTTGTGTGTGTGTGTGTGTGTGTGTATTATGCTGGCTGTAAATTTAATGAGATGTGTGTTTCCATGGTGACTGTCTGAGTGCTCCTGTGTTTACTTTCCACAGCCAATCATTTTTCAATCACTAATCAATAAACAAAGCAGTTGGGAGCAGTTCACAGCAGATGATTATGGCATGTGTGGTTGTGAGGTTATGTGTTCATGTGTAGCAGATGCTGCATAACATATATAAAAGACAACATTATTAAGGAGGTTAGCTCATTTAAATAAGAGATGATGAATTCTGAAGATTTTTTTGTCTGCAGGACAAGTTTTTATTGATTGATCCAAGACAATGTTGCTGAACGTCTTTAGGGAAAACTGTATGTACACAGTTTATGCACACAGCACATGTGTTTAGCGCTGCTAGAAGTGGACTTGGTATGTGTTATTGGTGTGTTGTGATTTTACAGAAAGGCAAGAAGCAGAGGTAACGATCAACACCTCCTTTAAAAGAAGAAAAATGCACGTTTGCCACTGTTTAAATACCTTATTAAAACACAATATTTAATGACTTTGCGCTATCTCTCAATATTTTATGTATGCTATGTATCTTGCAACTTTCTGCACTCTGCATAGACTCCTTTGCCTGAAGAATTGTAAAATATTCTTATTTCTATAGTTGTTATTAAAATATTAACTATTATTATTTCATTAGTCAATGAAGAGTGTTGGTGGATTTAAATTTTTTCCTTTAGTAAAAGTAGCGTTGCAAGTCTATGTAAAGTCCTCAGCATGTATCCCAGTACATGTAACTTAAAGCATTAAAGGTAAAATTACTTATTCTGCAGAAAAATGTTTCCATTAGTCTTACACGGGTTAATATTACTGTTGCAAATGTGTAAGGATGTTCTTATTTTAAATGTTTTATATAATTTGTTTTATCTACAGTATGAATTCAATCTATAAAATGTTATTTTTTGGTATGGGTGACCTGTATTATGTATAAAAGTGGTGAATTAATGAATTCAGATAAACAATCCTACAAATTGATTATTAAAACATATCAATAACATTTTAAATCTACAGAATGACACATTAACTGTCAATATCTGCAGTGGGATTAAAAATATTAAAGAATACTGATGGTGCTGTATTTGCAAAACAACTGTGCTAAACGTAATAAAATTCCTCTACACTCTACATTTCGGGCAAGGTCATTACAGAAAACGTATTTATTTAGATGATTAATCACAGAATAAGTTTGCTTGGTTACTTTTTAGCTGCTAGGTCTGTTTTTACACACATGCAATGTGCAGTCTCTCAGTAACATGCAAACTGTAGCTGATCTCAGAACAGTGAAAGCAGAACCAGGACAAGCTGCTCTTTTGCTAAACCGACCAGAGGTTTACCCACAAGAGCACGCACAAGCAACCAGAAAATGCTGCTGGCCTCTCATGAAAATGACATAGTCAAGCAGAGTCAAGCTAGCTTCTAACTGCAGCCATTAGTTATTAGAAGGAAGTCTGCAAAGAGGCAACGTGAGATGTTTTATGTGACAGAACATTGTTTGAGATGTAAAATTGAGATTGATGAGATCTCTTTCAATAAAAAGTTTTTTTTATTTTTTACATATTTTTTTTTACTGAGCAAGCACTGTTGTATATGAAAACTGCAATCTAGATGACATCAAACTGTCAGGAACACACAAAAAAAACCCATCTAAAATTGTATATTGAGTTATACATGGAATATTTTCACCTCGTTGACAAGCAGCCTGCAAGTCTTTAGTGTTCTCTGCTGTGCTTTTATTCAAAGACTTACGGAGAACAATAAAAGGGTTTTAAAGTAAGAACAAATCTTGGAGAAAAGGCCGTTTTTGGCAGTGTTGACTTAATTTTTTAGGTCTGTGAATAAATACAGTCACTCACTGTGCTGTCATGCACAGAGAGTGGCACTTCCTCCTTTCTCACTGACCTACTGCTCTCCTCCGCCTCCTCGTCTCTTGGTCTCTCTTGCTCTCTTTGTTATGGGGGTCCTGCATGGAAGATGTATATTTTATGTGCAGCTCTGGAGGCTTTTACCATTAATTATAGAGAAACACTAAGCTCTCCATTTGCCGGACAGATGTTATTTTTTACTTAAGGAGAGAAAGGGGACTGTTCCATAATTCAGAGGTAATCCCGCTCACCAGAGAACAAATAAATAAATGAATAAATAAAGAAAGAAAAAGCAAAAACCACAAACATTTGGTACTCTGCTCCTGCGTGCTCAACACAGCAGCATGCACAGATTTCCTCCACGGTGTTCCACCTTTAAGTGCCTTCTGCGTAATAAATATGGAACAGCTGCTCCATCATTTCATTTTTTATTCAACCTCAAAGTATTTCTGAAAATCACAAACACACACACACACACATTGTTGCAACATTTTTGAGCTTCAGAACAACGGTTGGCTAAAGATGCCAAAGTGGAATTATTTGTTTCAAATCCAGACAATAATATAAATAATAATAAAGCAAAAACAAACAAACAAAAACACTCAGTCAGATATGGCACTATCTGTTGTTTGATATAGCAACAGACATATAAGACAATTTTCTGCTATCAGAACCTGTGACACTACCACATGTACACTGAGAAACAGAGATTATAGGCAAACGTGATAATTCAGTCTTATTTACTCGCAACAGAAACAAAACAGATGTGCAGGTCTACAGTTTGCAAAAATATACCTTTTAAATAATGGTAATTTTTTAATACCATAAAGATTTGTCAAGCGTTGGGTTTTCGGCTGGTCGAACGAGCATGCGACATGCGGTGTTGGATTTTTTGCTTCAGTATTTCCATCAATAGTAATTTATTTTGTCCCATTTTGTATATATGAACCTATTAACAGGCTAATTGAAAAATGCAAATGACATGATTGATGTAAGTGTTTTAAAGAACCTTATTTCCAGCAGCTCACAAGGGGGCTCAGTCATTATAAAACTAATTATTAATAAAATGCAG